CGCTGAGGCTGAAGCCAATCAGCGTCAAACGGGTGAGCGAGTGCAGGTGGGCCAGCATTCCAAAATGGGCCTGGGAGAAGGTCTAAAGGAATGAGAAGAAAAAGGAGTTCATTTAGGGGTGAATTTCAAGGTGTTCAAAAGCTTCTTTTTTCCGGGTAGCAAATACCGAAGCCGGTCCCGACTGGTAGTCCCAGGTGTCGTCCTTCTCCGCGAGCACCAGCGAGGTGAGGGCGGTAAAGTGGCGCAGGAGAAAGGCACGGACGGCGATGCTGTCCGCCTCGCCCGATTCCGATTTGGTGTTGTTGACCAGCGTCAACGAGGTAACCGACCGACCGAGGACGGCCTGGTTCAGCAGCACTTCCGTTCCGTCACCTTCCGCCGACAGGAAGTGCTTCACCCGGAAGTTGGTGGTGTTCAGCTTCAGGCTGGTCAGCTTGGCGGTGGCGGCGGCGAGCAGCACCGGAAGGCAGCCGGTGACCACCTCGGCGTTCAGGCCAAAGTGCACTAGCTGGGGCATTAAGGGGGCCAGGACGGTGAAGTCTTTCCGGTCGTTGAAGAACATGTCGTTGAAGTCGAGATCGAGCGAAGTGAGTGGACTGTTGAGGCGACTTTCGACCAGGTAGCGGGTGAGGCAACGGCTGAGGTGATTAAGCGCTTGCCAGCACTTGAAGCGGACGACGTTGATGTTAATGAAGAGCGTCTTTAGGTGAGGAAAGTGGTCCAGGAGCGCAAAAATGGTGGGAAGATCTGGAAAAAAAGATAAAAAAGTAGTGAGTTGTACTTCAATTTAAAAGAAAAAAAGCTGTTTTTTACATGGCACAGAGACCAGGGCACTTGGTCCGTCGCGTTCGAGGATGACCAAGGAAAGGGCTTCGAGGGCCATTGGCGAGAAGGTCGGCGGTGGTGGTCGTAGTGGTGCTCTTTGATGACCACCATCACCATTATCATCAACTTCCACTTCTGCTTCGGCAAAGTTGGTGGTGGTGATCCTCTCAACAAAGCGGAAAAAGGCGGCCAACTTTTGCCCGCCCACCAGTCGCAACAGTGGGCCACCTCGAAACACTTTGTAAACGGTAGTTGGGCGTCGACGGCTTTCCAGCGTGCCGGTGATCACCGCAAAATCGTCCGCCAGCGACCCACCGCCCACATTGACCGCCTCGTGGAAGGTGAGAAAGGGCTGACGTCGCAGTAGTCCCAGCTCCATCTTCTCCCGTTCTCGCTTGGCGTCCGTAATGAAGTCCACCTCGATGGTGAGGGCCTTCAGTCGGCGGCGAATGTAGTGATCGGCACACCGTTTCCAGAAGTGGTTCACCTCTCGGAGAAGGGCAAGCTGAGAGAGCGGTTGAAGGGAGGTGAGATTGTCATCTTCCGTTTCCGGTTCCGAAGTGGCAATGCAGGAGATTAGCAAGAGGACAAGGTGAGAGTTGAGGAAGACGGAGTCCATTGCGGAGGGAGGTTGTTCGTTTTCTCCGAGTTCGTTGGAGCAGTTTTCAGTAGTTTTGTTGTTGTTATCGTTTGGCTTTTTCTCTTCTTTTCCCTTTTCATCTTTATCTTTATAGCATTTGTTTCCTTTCAAATCGGCTTCGTTAGTTTTTGGTTTTGTATTGTTCGACATTTCAGTTTAGATTTTACTAAGGGGTGAAAAGTTAAAGAATAAAATTAATTTGTACAAATAAAATGTACGTCAAAGTTGAACACTTGTTTTCCGAGTGTGTTTGTTTTAGCTGAATCACACTAGCGGTAGAATGGAGTTTTATCAGCCAATAGTTGGCGGTGTGCAAACGATCACTAAACTTAATGACTATCTGGCAGCAAACTAAACTTGCAACAAGCAAATTCAAAAACAATTGCAAATGAAAAAACAACACAAAAACAACAAAAGTATTCTGAACTAGCTAAAAGTTGACTGAAAACAAAGCACACAAATCCAAAATCAAAGTTTAGTACAAGCGAATCAAATGAATCAAAATACAATCCCACCAATCAACAATCAGAAGTTGACAAAACAGACACGTATACAAAAACACACGTACAAATCAACAGGGAAGTCTGAAAATCGGTATAGAAAAAATTTCACCAAAGTCGTACAGCGCTGAACACAAAGTGAAAACACAAATAGACCAACACAAAAAGTAGATCATCCGACTGCCAACTTGTACCTGGTTTTTATATCTTGGTAGTATTGGGAAAACGTGGCAGTACCGATGTGTGGGGCAATATCTGCTGACTGGCTGGCGAGCAATGGACCGCATCAGCATCAGCATCAGCAGTCGAACATCCACTGACGGAAAGGATCCTCTGATCTGCGCGAGGAGTCCTCCTCTGATCCGCAATGAGCCGAGGTAGTTGTCTAGGTAATCCGAACCGAGCTAAACTGCAGCACTGCTTGCTCGTCTTCTTCCTTTTCATTTTAGTCTCGTTCCGCCCAATATCCTCGCTGTCCCATTTTTCAGTTTCGGGCGCCAACAGGTGCACGCACACGCACAGCAAAGTGATTGATTGCCTGCCTGCCTTCCTGCCTTCCTGTCTGCCTGTCTGCCTGTCTGAATTAACGGACCATTTACCCTGTCTGCCCAACAAACAAGCAACAACTGCTAGAGCAGCAGCAGCAGCAGCAGTGGGCGCAATGTACAGCAAAAGTTTTTTTCGTTTTTTCAGGTTTAAATAAAAATCTTTTTTTAATAAAACAAAATTTTTTTTTGGTTTTGCAATTATGCTAAATGTCAAAAAATTAAACATCCAATTTTTCGTTACATTTTAATGAACTGTAGTGCCATCTGCACTGCACCAACACATCATAGTCAATCAGTACACACAGATCACCCTTACTCACCCCGACCTGTATGTGTCACCCTCTATCTCACTAGTCTCTCTCTCTCTCTCTNATCACCCTTACTCACCCCGACCTGTACGTGTCACCCTCTATCTCACCCGTGTCTCTCTCCCCTACATAAGCAGACCTCAATGTAGACACACTTCACCAGTCGGCTCCCAGTCGGCTGCCACTGGTCACGAACCAGTTCCCATCTCAGTCCCCATCTCACTTGTTTCCCCTCATCTCATACTTCTGTATTCGCCCATCACAGATCGTCCTCATCAGTAAAGGTCTCTGCCACCACAGAACAAATTTAAAAAAGGTGTTTTAATTTAACAAAAAAGATTAAACAAAGGCTCTTAAAGGCTTTTAAATCCTAACAATTACACATTGTGCTAAATGGTTTATTAAACTATTTATTAAACTACTGCTATTTTTCACTATTGCAGAAAATCATTTTGAAAAAGCAAAGTTTTGCCTATTTAATCTCCGTCAGGTGCACCAGGTCACCATTGCTTGGTGCTTTGCCTTCATTTCTTATTCCTTTTTTTTTACCATTACCACCGCCCACATCACCCTCCTCATCCTCGACCTCCACCTTCTTCGTCCTCTTGGTCTGCCCAAGCTCACAGTTGTTGTCGTCCTGCTCCTCGTCGTCGGCGTCACAATTTTCAGCCTCCGAAGTAGAAGAAGATCGTGGAAGAGATGGTGGGGGTGATGGCAGCGACAGCTCCGAGGAGGCCGAGGGTGACAACTTGTAGCCGACGCTGTTTCGAACTCCGTAGGCGAAGTAGATGGCCAGTCCGAGGGCCATCCACACGGCGAAGCGCAGCCAGGTCATCACATTGAGGTGCACCATCAGGTAGGTGTTGGTGAAGACGGAGAGGAGCGGAAGTAGGGGGACCAGCGGGACCTTGAAGGATCCCGAGCGGACGACCATCGGCTGGCGGCTGAGCAAGAGAAGAAGGACAAACAGCAAAAATATGGTCAGGCTTATCAGGACGATGCCCAGCGGAGGCAGACTGCCCGCGTAGAGGGCGTCCTCGTAGGCGAACATGACGCCGTTGAAGAGGAGAATGACCAGACCTAGAAATGAAGGAAAAATTGATAAGAGTTTTTATAGTTAGTCGGTTTAATTATCCCTTATCAGTGTACTTATCAAGTGGTCTAGATAGCACTGATAAAGAAAAACAAAGTGTATAGGGGCACTCACAGATGAAACTGATAAGGCTGATGCTCAGCTTGGAGGTGAAGGCGTCTACTCGGTCTGATCGGCTCAGGTTTAGCAGTCGCGAGAAAAAAGATTTGTGATGTTTGAGGCTCTGCTTCCGGTGAGGGTCGTAAAAGCTGGTGGCCTGAGGAGGACCGAGGTTTTGACCGTCGTTATCAACAGCATCTCTAATGGCGGGAGCAAAGTTGTTGTTGTCCAAAACGGAAACTTTGCGGCAGCCCAGGCCATTGTTTTCTAGTTCAGCTACTGATGCATTGTTATCATCAGCTTTTGTCAGTCCAGCCATGTCGTCCTCTTTGTACCTGAGTTTGGTAGTGATGATAACGACAGATTAAAATCAGTAGCAAAAAGTGGTCAGACAATAAGAATCTCAGTACTAGAGTAAAGAGCAATAAAAATGTGTGTGCGTGCCTGTGACGTCGGCGTTTTACAGCATCCACTGCATGACCGATTACACACACATTAAAAAATGTCTGTTAGTTTCAACTGTAACTTCTGACTAAAAAAACACAGCTTTTGTTTACCTTAGAATGAGAATTGAGATGGCGACCAGGCTGTAGGCGAGCAGCGTTCCTGGACAAAAAGAGCATAAAATGAGCAAACAAAAAAAATGACCTAATTTTTTCCCCTCTCCACTTACCGATGCTCATCATCTCCGCCAGCTGGTCCACGTCGAAGAAGGTGGCCATCAGCGCGGAGAAGAGGCCGGCGACGGCGGTGGCCACGAGGGGCGTCTTGAAGCGGGCGCTGATGGCGCCCAGCGGCCGGAAGAGCAGCCCGTCGGTGGCCATGGCGTAGAGAATGCGGGGCAGGGGGAACATGGCGCCCAGCAGCGAGGTGGAGAGGCCGGCGAGGGCGCCCACGGTGATCACCGTCTTCGCCATCGGCAGGCCGACCTGCTCGAAGACAAAAGGGAGCGGGGCCTTGACGTTCTGCTCGTAGTACGGCCACATCAGCGTTTGGACGGCGGCCACCGAGCAGTAGGCGGCGGTGATTACCAGCAGGCTAAATCAGAGGAAAAAGGGAAAAACAGAGTTTTCAGTATCTTTTTTGTACTCAAGTACTCAACTGCTGCTACTACTACTACTTCAGTACTTCAGTACTTCAGTACNGGCCACATCAGCGTTTGGACGGCGGCCACCGAGCAGTAGGCGGCGGTGATCACCAGCAGGCTAAAACGGATAAGAAAAAACAGCGTTTTCAGTATCTTTTTTGTACTCAAATACTCAACTACTACTACTACAACTTCAGTACTTCAGTACTTCAGTACTTCAGTACTTCCTCCTTACCTCAACACAATAGCAATGGGCAGGTCTCGCTGCGGCCTCAGCACCTCCTCACCGGTGGTGGCCACCGCATCAAAGCCGACATAGCTATAGAAGCAGGTGGCCGCGCCGCTGATCGTCCCCTTGATGCCAAAGGGGAAGAAGCCGCCACTTCCGCCCTCCGCCTCGGCGGGAATGTCTCCCTGGTCGATGGCCCAGTTACTTCCTTTTACCTTGAAGAGGCCCACGATGACGCAGTAGGCGATGACCAGAATGTTCACCCCGGTGAAGATGGTGGTGAAGCGGGTGGACTCCTGGACGCCGATGGCCAGCATGCCGGTGAGCAGCATCGTCAGGCCGAAGGCGAACAGGTCCGGGTAGGAGGAGAACCAGGCGGAGGCGGGCAGGGAGAGGTAGCGGCTGAAGAAGCGCTCGATGGCGTTGTCGAAGAGAAAGTCCACGTAGTTGGCGTAGCTGCGGGCGACGGAGGCGGTGCCGATCACGTACTCGAGGATGAGGTTCCAGCCGATGACGAAGGCCATCAGCTCGCCGACGCAGATGTACGAGTAGATGTAGGCGGATCTAGGTAGAAAAGTAAAAAAAGACACATTTTTATTAATTGAAATCTGCAAACATTGTCAGAAGTAGTAGTAGTAGTACCCAGCTTTTGGAACGAGGGCGCCGAACTCTAAACGAATGAAAAAAAGGGAAAAAATGAAGGCAAGTAAAGTTTGATTATAAAGAGGTTTTTTAGCGTTTGTTTGTTTGTTTATTTGTTTGTTCAGATTTGGGGATCACCTGCATAGCAAAAGCCGGCAAAGATGCTGCTCACCGCGGCAATGGCAAAGGAGAGCACCACAGAGGGGCCTGGTAAAAAAAGTTAAAAAGTGATCATTTTTAAGTTTTAAGTTTTAAGTTTTCATTTGTCATTTTTTTACCTGCTTGCTTAGCAGCCACTGTGCCGATGATGACGTAAATGCCGACGCCCAAAGTGGAGCCGATTCCTAAGATAAGCATTTTAAATTAAAACAAAATTAGTTTGTCAGCATTAAATGCCATTTTACCCAGCGCCGTTAGATCAACTATTCCCAGACATCGTTTCAGTTTTGTTTCACTGCTGGAAACGTCAATCGGTTTTCGCCTGGTGATGGACTTGAGAATTTTCAGCATTTTTTGCCAATGTTGTTGTTTTTAAGTGAGAAGTAGTTATCTAAACTGAAATAGCAAAAAAACAAAAAGGGTTCAACATTGGTCCTATTTTGTTGAAAAAACAAACAAACATAAAAATGAAAACAAGTGCCGTACTATTGTAAAATCAAGCAGTAAAAATTGATGATCTTTTATATAGAGAGGGTTTGAAGTTTTTTTCCTTTCACTAGAAAAAAAGATCGACTTTTCGTTGATTGATTTGAACCTGCTGTTGGTGACAGCTGCTGATTAAAATTGATGAAAATGATGATTAAAGATGGGTAATGTGTAATGATCAAAAGAGGAAAAAGAACAGACAAGAAGAGGACAATATCATCATTTCCATCATTGCCAATCTCTCATTCTAAGTACTTTGTGGTTACTGTACGGCATTGTTGTACATTTTACAGTATTTTTTACGATGCTGACGTCGTACAAAAGAACGTCGTTTACTACTAAAAAGATTGGCAACTGGTTCACAAATGTTGGCTGGTTAGTTGGTTGGCTGGTTGGCTGGCCAGTGGCTGGCTTGTTTTTATGGCATTACAGTGATTATTTGCAAAAACGGAAAACGAAAGTTTTGAGTGTGTGTGTGTTGTAGTAACGACTGTAACTTACAAGAACAACAAAAACATTAGGTAGTAGTAAATCGTGATTTTGTTTCGGTTTTCGTTGTTTTCTAACAGTTTAAACAAAACAGCATGTTGTGAACACCATCGACCAGCTAATGGCTTAAACTTCGTTTAAAAATGCCGTTATTTTATCCTGAGTATTTCTCTCTGAAAACTGTCTAGTGTGAATTTTTAATTCAGCATTTGTCAGTTAGAGTGTCCAGCTAAATTCAAATGCATTTGCTAAACTGAAATGTGTTTGACATTTCTTAATCTAGAGAATGTGCTTTCTACCAGTCGTACAGTAGACAGCAGTAATTCGCTCTGACCTTTGAATATAATCTATTTTGACAAGTCTAATTTGAGTGCACTTGCTTGACTGTATAAATGCAGCTGTCTAAATGCTGCTGTCGTTGCTGCTGTTGTGGCTGCTGCATTAGTTTAGCAAAACAGTGTTGTGAAACACTTGCCTAAAATTGAACTTGATTAATGGTCTCATGAGGATTAGGGGAAAGATTCAATTGAAGGCTAATATCATCATAATCACCATTTAATCGCCATCGAACGTTTGACCAGTTTGGTCAAGATCTCTTTTACATGTTAATTTACTTCAACGTAGTACATTTGAGGGGTAGAGTGCAAGTACCAAGTACTTCCGTCGAAGCAGCAGCAACAGCAGCAGCAGCAGTTCATTCGTACTGTGAATGACAGTTTACATTAAGTAGTAGACATTAAATTAGATTGTAAAGTCTGACGTATGCCATAAAGTGCATTATCGCAGCAATAGCAGCAGCAAAAGTGGTAGTAGTAGAAATCTGCGCTATCTCTAGTAGTGTAAATGCTACTGCTGCTGCTGCTTTTTAAACTTAAAATTTGTCTAATTTTTAAACTTTAAAATTAAAATCTTTTGATTTAACTAATTGTTAAGCAAAAAGTCGTAGAGAAACGGATTTATTTAAAACAAGTTAATTAAAAAATAACAATTGATAAAATTACGTCACTGGGGGTAATAAACAGAATCAATTAAAATGCGCTTAATTGGTACGATATCATTGCGTTGAATTGAGTATAAAATGGGTTTACATTTAGTTTGAGCTAAAATCCGCACTTGTAAGTGCGTTTTGTTTTAAAAAAGCTTTTTTTAAACTTATTGAGAACAAAATGAAAATCTTTTTACTATTAAGTGTTAGTTTGGTGCTTTTGTTTCAAGCTGTTTCTGCTCAAAACACTTTTCCCACTGCATTTCCACGACTGACGCCTCGACCACGCGGCCAAACCGATCCGCCGCCAGTTGTGTTGCCCAGTGAGATTTCAGTTCATAAAAACTTGAACAGCAACAACAATGGCGGAAAACTGCCCTTCTTTCTCGAGCTGGCCAACATTCACCAAAACTCTTCTTCATCGGCTCCTTTAAAATTAAGTTTCAACGGAGGCAACTTCACCGGCCCACTTGAGCGCCTGGACGAGATTCTCTGGCGACTTCCGCTCACCTCTCAGCTGCAGATTTTCATTGACCGAAAAAGGGAGGAACAGTACACTGCCTATCACTTTCACTGGTTCGGCGTGACCACCAGTCTAGACCGGGAGGTGTGTTTGCACATTGCCCACAACAATGCCTCCTGGTTAGTGCAAAACTTAATTGAAAAAATTGACATTAAAAAACCTTAATTTTTTTGGGTAAAGGTTCAGCAGCATCGTCGACGGTTCGACGGGAAAAGGCGACTGGCCGATGAGCCGACTGAAGGCCATTTCCCGTGGAACTGGCCTCGTCACCGGCGGTGCCATTTTTGGACCCACTTTGGAGCCGCTGTTCCTCTCCTCGGACGGCTTTGCCCTCCTTCTGAAGCACAAATCGCCGTGGTTCATCAGGCGGGATCCTTCAACGAGCACTGCTGATCCGCTACTTTGCCTTGCCATTGACGCCAATTCCGCCCCCTACTCTCGTCACCACTCGCTCGATTACATGTCGCTGGAGTTTAGCATCATCGCCTCGAGTTCTTTACTTCAAGCGCATCATGGACTGCTGAAGGCGGGGCTGCTGCCCAAACCGACGTCTATTCCCGCCGAGGGCCTTTTCACGGCACCAGTCTGGTCAGTAGTAGAAGATAATGTTGCTCAAACAATTGTGAACCAAACTTCAGTGGTCACCTTTGCTGAGCAGCTTAAAAAGTACAACCTTTCTGCATCGCAGATTGAAATTTCAAGCTGGGAAAAACACCTAGGTGATGGCACCTTTGATGAGGCCCGATTTCCGAACCCCGCCAAAATGGTTCAAGACCTTCACAAGTTGGGCTTCAAAACCTCTCTTCTGGTGACGCCTTTTGCCGACAGTCAGTCAGCTGAATACTCTAAAAGTCTACCGTACCTCACAAAAAGTGCCTCATCAAGCGGTACAAAAGAGGCTAAAGTCAAAAGTGGACGTTACGGAGTGGTCGACTTTAGCAACGCCTCTTCCGTGAACTGGTTCACCGGTCGACTAAAGACACTTCAAACTACAACGAAAATAGACTCATTCAAGTTTGACGGCGGCGAGGTGGCCAACTTTGGAGCAGATCACCTCTTCGCTAACAAAACCGTCCAGGAGCTGCCCAACCTTATCACTTCCGAGTACGTTAAAACTTGCCAACTGCTGGGCAACTCCTGTGACCAAGTTCGAGCAGGTTTCGAAACGCAAGCACTTCCGCTTTTCCTCCAATTTACAGTTGAACCGACTGCTGAGGGTCTAAAGTCGGTCATTCCCACGGCTCTTTCCCTCTCCATTGGCGGTTACCCGTTTCTGGTGGCTCAAATGAGCGCAAAAAATCTATCACACTCAACTGCTTCAGAAGAGCTGTACATCCGCCTCCTTCAGGCGACCACCTTCTTCCCCGCAATGTCCATCATCAGTTCAATGCCAGCCTTATCACACTTTGCTAATCAATCTTTAAAATTGGTCAATTTAACCAGAAAGTACATCAACCTTCACGCTGAACATGCGCCCACGCTAGTGGCCCTTGCCAGGAGGACCGTGCAGTCGGGCGAGCCGATTGTACGGCCGTTGTGGTACGGCGCCAGTTTTTCAACAAACTCAAACGCTGAGCTTATCAACGTTAATGACCAATTTATGATTGGTGAGGACATTCTGGTGGCACCGGTGGTTGAAGTTGGCCAACGATCGAGAACGGTTCACTTTCCGCCTGGCAGCAGCAGCAGCAGCAGTTGGATCGATCAGCATGGAAAGTCGTACAATGGCGGAACAAAGGCAGTTGTACAGGCGCCCCTTGAAGAGCTTCCGTACTTTACTAGACGCCAACTGTAAATGATTTATTAGTTGCTGCTGTTCTACTTTTGCCTGGGATGATGTAAGAACTTTGTACTTCACTTTTTTGTATGTGTGTGTCTACATCCGGAACTCTTCCTGTTCTTCCTAAAAAGGTGTTTAGGTGCACAGTTTTGTAATCAGTTTGCCTTTTTTCAATCTTTACCTGTACACCATAACAAACAATGTATTTTAACCTACTACGGGAAAAACTGTTTGCTCGTTTGCTCATTTTTTTCAGTATATTCAATTAGCTTTTTTGAATGTGCCAGGTAGTTTTTGTTGTGGAAATGGTAGTGGTGGTGGTAGTAGTAAGTGTGGTTGTGATGGTGATGGTAGTAAAAAGTTATTGACAAAGTTGGGTCTTCTAGAAACAGTTTGAATACTGATAAAGAAATAATTAAAACATTTTAAATGAACACATGAAGTCTATTTGGTGGCTCCTGTTGCCGGGCAAAAAAGCAGGGTTTTGCAATAGTGATTAAACAGCTTTATTGACCCTGTTTCCCAAATGAAAAAAAATGTTACAGAGTCTAGTCAAAGATTCTGTACTCTACAGTGCAAATTGAGACGTATTCTTGTTTAAATATTCACACACACAAAATAAAGGAGAATAAATACTAAATGAGATCTTTTTTTGTTTGTAGACCACACACTACTACAGATACCTTTTTTTTGTTGCGCAAAAGCTGACACACACAAAAACATTTTGCAAGTTTTGTCACCCTTTTTTGTTGTGTCTTAGTATATCTTGTCAACAAACCAAAAGTCTAAATAGAGAGTAGTAGAACAATCGATTGTGCCAAAACACACACACACACACACACACACGCCACCAAATAGAGCTACTTCTGTACAACTATCTGCCCAGCGCAGAAAATTGATTAAAACTAAAGCAAACGAAGTAGGTAATTATCATTTGCAGATACTAGGCAAACAAGGCTAGAATAAATGAACAAGAAAAAATAACAACTTGTCAAATTTTTTCACTTTACAAAGAATGGGTATTTAAATTAGAACAACTTTCAGTGGCAAACCTTCAGTCAGTGGTTGCCAACAGTTTTGACAACTGC